CACACGGCCGTTACATGTAATGAATGCTCTTGTCATGAATTCCGAAAGACGACCAGCCTCATTCGCTTAGGATTGCTATCACGTACCTGCTAATGAAGGCTTAGCACCGAGACCGCATTACTACTGTCATATATGAACGTCCATAGCTGCGCTGCCGTAGCGCAGGCGGCCAGCACTGTCTCGCAGGCTCGAGGAAAACCCGTGGGCCGCTTTGGAGAAGGGTCAATGCCAATGCAGCAAGCCGTGTTTAGCGAGTAGAGCTTGATACTTGACTTAGGCGCTGGATCAGTGCAGCAGTGTTCATGTGGCAAATTTCTTTAACGCAATGTGGGTGTGTTGTGGGCGTTTCCTAGGAGGTGCCCAGTGAAGGAACTGAAAAAGGTTGGACGTTTTACTTTTTATAACACAAATTCGACAGGGATAAATGTTCGCAGTAGCAAAAGTAGAGTCAGAAAAGGCGAATGGCTAAATCTCCGAAGGGAGTAAATGTAACCAGGTATCTGTTGGATGAGAAGAAAGTCGCATGACAAAAAGTCGGAATGAATAAAATTCGATAATAATTAAAAGCCCGAGCGATAAAACCTGAGGGGGAACGATTTGGACAGGCAAGAACAAAAAGGCGATAGGGATCGAAATAAAAATGGAAAAAGACAAACTATTAAAAGTCAGAAAGGACAGGAGCCTGCAGGGAGAAAGTGAAAATGAGAACAAATCAAAAACAAAGTCAAGAGTAATCTGCGTATGTGTGAACCTTGCTGTAAACACGATATGAATTTGCAGTTAAGACCACACTACATTACAAATAATATGGTCCGAAACGTTATTTCCTACTCAACATATGATACGCCCATCTAATATAAAAATACAAGCGCACAATTTTATCAGATGGTATTGGCAACCCCCAACAGATGATCAACGAAGTGGCCGCACGTGCTCTGAGTAAAAGCATTCCACGCTAACCACTGTGATGGCTTTGCTAGCCCACAGGTTCTCTTTATCCCGTGGCTATTATTACTGCAGCTCTTCACCGTATTTTCCATTTGCACCAAAGTCCACTGCCCATGTTCCTATCAGATCGAGTCGCCATCATTGAAGCGGCCGATGTCCGTCATCGCCACCACTCATCGCCATCGCCATCGCCATCGCCATCGCCATCGCCATCGCCATCAGCGCGCTCGGGGCGGAACAATGGCGCTGTTTTACGAGAGAAGCGGCCCAACCGTACCCACTGTCCGTACAACCCACCGCTGAGATCGTGCAAAGTACCGAATCGAGTTTGTCGCCTGTCCGGCCGCGGACGATAGAGCTGTCCTACGAAAGGAACGGCCCAGCCATACGGCCACCTCGATCCCGCTGTCCGTAGAAACCTCTGTTGAGATCGTGCAAGGCTCGGAACCAAGCTCGTCGCCGGTCCGGCCGCGCCGCCTCGATGCTCCGCCGCCGCCTCCGCCGCCACTCTGGCTCACCTTCCGATCCGGCTCGCGCTGCCGCCCGCCGCCGCTGGGGCCGCCGCACGGTCTGGCTGGTCGCGTCGTGTCGCTGACGACGGCCAGCACTCCCCGGCCGTGCGCCGACGAGGGGGGGGGGGGGGCACCTGTGGCCGGCGACCGTGCCCACGCGGAGGAGAGTGCGGCGTGATGGAGTGGCGGCCCCGCGGCAGCCGGGCGGCGCTGGGCGCGATGCTCGCGGGCCAGCGTCGTGAGCAGAAACACTATAATGCGAGATAGTAAATAGTTCTCCCTCAGGCTGTTTTACATCAAGTGACCCAGGGATTGTCTTCATTAAAACGAGAGTAAATGATTTTGTTTCGATGAATATGTGTGAAGTAGGTCTTAACAAGCCCTTTTTTTGACAACTTAAATTCCCGGCAAAGAAATATGTGAGCAAACAGCAGGTCTATATAGGGCAATTTCAGCTGCGCACTGGATCAAGACATAGCTGGTTTGCAACGGAAGAAAAAATACAACATACATGCCAATATTTCGAGATCATTATGCAAATCACGACATTACAGATGTTTGCAGGTTGTGCAATCCAGAGAAGTGTGAATAATGATGATCAGTAATGTACTGCTCTGAACAGACCCGAGATGCCATTCTTGAACAGCCACTCCCTCGACTCAGTTTCCGAATGTGATAATGAACCTGGATACATGACTGATCAAATGCTATGCTTTCCGGGCTTTTCCATGTGCTATTCCGAGAAGGAGCATGCAGTTTATCAACCTTTCTCATGGAAAGAGCTACATGTCTTTTTCTTTAAATCAACCGGAAAACCCCAAACATGACGTCTTAACGTTACAGGTTCCAGGTTCAAGTATGACTTTAAGACGTCACAAAAGACTGATAATTTCCTAATCTCAGTACGGTTAAGTCTGCTCGACCAAGTAAGAGGACCAGGACATTGAAAGTGTAACGAGTGTCTGCTATTGCGACATGTGTCTGTCTGCCATGTGTGTCAGGTGTCATGTCATGACATGTGCCATGTCTGCCATGTCATGACATGTAGGGGCCCTCAGGCTGGCCAGGGGATGCATTTTGAAGGCCTGCTCTGGCTTGGTTTATACCGACGACTTCCTCAAGGGCTAAGCAATTTGATTGGAATGGGGTCCATGAAAAGTGTCTGTCTCTTCTACGGCACACCTTTGATGTTGGTAAGAGGACTGGAATTGTTTTCCAACACTTTCCAAACGGAAAGCTAGAGGGCTTCATTTAAGGAAGCAGGAAGTGTCGACAAATAGTGAAAAAGTAATCAAATAGTCAGTAGTTAAAAAGGAAGAAGGAATAGAAAAATGTGAAGTTCTCACGTCGATGGCCAGCGCACCGCACCAGCTGTTTCCGTGAAACACCAGGCTGCACCTAGTGGCGACACCCATACATCGCTGCCCAGTGTCACGCTCGCTTGCTCCGCCTGCTTCACGGTGTGGGTGCGCGGGCCCGGCAGAGTGTCTAGTGTTCACCGTAGGGCAACCCCGGCACAGCGTACCAGGAAGGGAAATATATGCTCACTGCGCAAGCGTATTATGTCCATTGCCTCGTTCAAACAACATTTGACTTTAACAGGTAACTCGTCAGTTCTAAACACAAACACCCGCCTTAGAACTTGCCTTAACCAATGAGCCAATATCAGACTCACATTTTACACAAGCTGAATTTCACTGTGCAGACATTTAGAAACACATGAGCGAATTTTCCTCTCCGTAAAGGTCGCAGAATACTGCCCTCATTGGCCGTCGCCCAGAAGCCACCCCAGATGCCACGGTGTGTGATACCCCGAATAGCCCAGCTCCATGGCTTACATCAGACAACGCTGGAATGAAACGATCTTTTCATTGCGCATGCGCACCACGTAGCTGTAGCATCTGGGACATCTGATTCGAAGTTTCCGTAACGCTCCCGCGGCCGGCCTCGGCTTCCCGTCCGACAGCCAGCCCCGCCATCTTGCGACAAGTTTCCGAATCAGCTGGTCATTGGCGCCGTGTGCGGCCGAGGCCCGTGCCATACAGGAGGAACGCAACCGTCTTCCATTCCTATCGCCCGCACCATGTCAACCGCGGAGAACTACGCGAGCGCCGCACTGCGGCGGGTGAAAATGTTTAAACAAGCAACACGCAATACAAAAATAATCAAATATCGCCAAAGGAACACAAGCAGCTTGGTGGTCTGCTAGAAGACCCAAACATGATCGGAAACCATGAGATGATGGTGTAATCATTCGGTCTATGGATAATCGGTATGAATGGAGAGAAGAGTCACTGAGACGTTCATTTCCCTTCGAAGAACTTCGAATTTGCACTGAAACAGTAAAGCCAGCAGAGACGGGAAGCGAACGCGAGAGAGAGAGAGAGAGAGAGAGAGAGAGAGAGAGAGAGAGAGAGAGAGAGAGAGAGAGAGAGAGAGAGAGAGAGAGAGAGAGAGAGAGAGAGAGAGAGAGAGAGAGAGAGAGAGAGAGAGAGAGAGAGAGAGAGAGAGAGAGAGAGAGAGAGAGAGAGAGAGAGAGAGAGAGAGAGAGAGAGAGAGAGAGAGAGAGAGAGAGAGAAAGAGAGAGAGAGAGACCTGATGTCTATCTGATTGGAACGTCCAAAATGCGACCAGTTACGTACGATACTTATATGAGTTTTCAGCATTTCTATCACTCCCAGCGAACGCGGGCAGACCCCAGAACGGGCTGCGAAGTCAACTCCCTGTCCCATGAGATGATGATCATAAGATATCCCATGAGACTCCATGGCTTCCACGATTTGATTTAGAAACTTTGTCGCAAACGACCCCGAACGAGATCCCTCCACAGATCTTACCGATGGTCCTTCCAGGAGCTTGGATCATTTCCACTAAGTTGTGCAGGGATCTTTGAAACCAGCAATTGTTTGTTTTCTAAAACCACGGGATTAGGATCTTTTGGGAGTCTCGACTACTCATCTAGCATAAAACCCACACACCCTGAAACCACGCTACCGTCTCTTTCACCCCGTTCAATTTAAAATTGTCACCTGGTATCCGACGTTTTGCTAGAGTGCCACCTGCGCACCTGAGAATGCCTCCGCAGCATTCGCACACGAGCTCGCACGTGGCCGAGTGCCAATCACACGTGATCAACCACGCTCTCCTCCAGAAAATGAAACGCTACTGGAGTTTAAAATATGTATATTATTCATCAATTCTTGCCACAAAGTAAGCGGAGCCTGCACGGGGGAGCAGAGGGGGTGGGGAGGGAGGAGGCAGGTGGGGGAGGTGGGGAGGGGGGGGGGGGGGCAACTAGAGCGCGCCGCAGCAGAGCAAGCGACCTACGTCTTCACCTACTGCAGGGTCGTCTCCAAGTGTCCGAGCAGCGATCTCCCGCCCGCGTCTCGCGCACGACAGCACACCGGGAGCCGTCGGGACAGCACAGCCCCGCCGTCCGCGAGGGGGCCTGCGGCGCGCGCAGCCTCCGGAGCTGCCGGCAGGCGCCCAGCCGCGCGCGAACACACGCAAACACATCCGACCACAAGTCCGTCGCCGGCCGGCGGCCGACGCCGCCCAGTGACGTCACTGGGACACGGCGGTGACGTCAGCGGTTTCGCAGCGCCGTCAGCGGGACGGACGCGACTGCGGGCGGCGACCTGGGGTGGCGCGCTGACGCGTCAGGTACCTCCGTCCGCAGGCAGCACTGCAAGGCAACAGGCACTGATGAGAGGACGACGGCGCGGTTTCAATCGGGGCCGGTGAGCGGTGCACTGTGTGCTGTGGTGGTCGGTCTTGCCGGATCCGCTCGACCGCAAGTTAATCCATTGGCGCGGGGCTTGTAACGCCATACAGGCTTTGTAGACCGTGAAACGAATATTCGCTGCAAAGCAAAAATAGGCTGCCAGCTGTGTTTCAAGCAGTGGAACGTCGCACAGACGAGACTGGGACACTCGACCCAGATCTCTTCCGCTCCCGACATATCCGTCATAGGCCACATGCACATCTGCAAGCATAACTGGACATTGCAAACTCGAGGCGACAGAGAATGAGGCAACGGAGCACTGATAATGGCCGCGTGGGACCTTGTCAACGTGAAATAACACAACACCGCCCTTGTGGGGCCTACAGGAGGTGACACACCACTGACAATGATCATGTGGGACCTACACGAGGTGACACACTACTGAAACTGACATGCGGACCTGCATGAGGTGACACACTTCTGATACTGATCATGTGGGACCTACACGAGGTGACACACTACTGAAACTGACATGCGGACCTGCATGAGGTGACACACTTCTGATACTGAGCATGTGGGACCTACACGAGGTGACACTACTGAAACTGACCATGTGGAACTACATGAGGTGACACCTTTTGACGCTGATCATGTGGGACCTCATGAGGTGATACACTACCGACACTGACCATGTGGACCTACGCGAGGTGACACACTGCTGACACTGACCGCGTGGAACCCGCACGAGGTGACACACTGCTGACACTGACCATACGGGAGCTTCACGAGGCGATCTGTTCGGCGGGGGCCGTCTCTTGCTGGGGCCGCATCACGTCCGGAAGCTCAGGCGGCGTCGAGTAGGGCACTACCTCGGGGGCCTCAAACTCGCCTGCGACGTGGGACACAGCGGAGCTTCAGTGCCACTCAAACTCGCCAGCAGCGTCGTGCACGGCGACCGCACGGCGCCAGCCGAAGCGGTCTCGAATGACGGACACAGTCCTGTCTCGAACTCATCCTTGACGTCCGACCAGTGCCGCCGAGCCAACAAGAGCGACGTCCAACGAGGTCACACTCAGAGTTACACCCAAGCTCGTGAGGTCACACTCAGGAGTTACATCGTAAGTCATGAGGTGACGCCCAGGAGAGTTACAACGAGGCTCGTGAGGTCGCAACCCAGGGGTTACAACGAAGCTCCCGAGATCACACTCAGGGGTTACAACGGCGCTCGGAAGATCACACTCAGGGGTTATACCGGAGCTCGCGAGGTCACACTCAGAAGAGCTGCACCCAAGTTCGTGAGGTCACACTCACGATAGTTACACCGCTGCCCCCGAAGTCGCCCTCAGGGGGTAACACAGGCCGACACGCTGCACCATTTGCGCACGAGCCGAGCCGACGACGTCCCACAAGGAGAAGCCGCGGCACAACTCGGGGCACCGCGACTGACATTCACCGAAATTAGACACGACACCGACGCTCGGCACAGTTGGGACCGCTGGGACCCGGGGCCGGACGGGGTCACGCGTCGAAGCCCGGCACGACTGGGATCGCTGGGACCCGGGGCTGCACGGGGTCGCGTGGAGCCGACCTCAGCCGTCAGAGGAGGGCCGCAGCTGCGCACATCACAGGCGGATGGTGCGGCGCGTGGCAAAATCAGACACTGACACCGAGCCTGAAGCTTGCGTCTGAAGACGACGAAGCGAGCATGTGCAGACGACCCTGCTGACCGCAGAGCCGGCGTAAGACGCACAAGAACTAAAGACAATAGGCGGACTAAGACCTTATTTGACCTTATAAGACCTAACTAAGACCTTATAATTTGCAGGCGAGGCTGCAGCTTGAGGCCAACCCGGAACGGCACGGCACACTTACCATCCTCTTGCCGGAAGCAAAGGACCAGTGTGGCCGGCTTGTGCGCCTGCGCCGTCGATGACGTCAGGCCGCAGTCCTGCGCGGCGGAGGCGGCGTGTCATTGGCCGGCAGGATAAGAGTGACGCCATCGACATGGCAAACCACACAACGGACTGCATGGGTGGCATGACACTACAGTGACGTTACAAACACAGGAACGCCATTGGACGACACAGGAAGCGAGGCAGTTTTCTCACGCGCGCGTTACGTAAAAGTCCTGGGAAAACAACTCACATCTGGAAAATTTTACCCATGACCCGCGGTTGAGTCGGCGTCATGCGTCATGGAGCAGCTTCGAACGATAATATCCTCAATCATGCGGCGGATCAGGAGTGAGAACTGGGGCAAGTTCCCAGCAAGCGGATGAAACAGCCGTCAATATGCCACGCCCCCACCGGGCGATCGCCGCCCGCGAGCACTTCAGACGTCCAAAGAGTTTCCAGTACAGCCCGCCAACGCCACGCGAACGGACGCGGACCTGATGACCTGGCGCGGCACTAGGGGCCGGAGCCAAGCCTCGTCTTCCGCTGCGAGAGGACTGGGCATGGCGGAAGGGGGGGGGGGGGGCAAAGTGCAGCAGAACCGGGAGGGAGGCCCCCATAGGTCTGGCTGTCCCCCAGCAATCAGTGTTGGCTTTGGCCCGCCACCGGCGCGCGGCCAGAAAAGACCACGCCCGGCCCACCAAGGGGGCCCATGGCACGTGCCGACCCGCCTCGAGGGAACATGTGTCTCAACGTCGGCTTCCTTCATGCCGTCACGGATGCCCCCCCCCCCTCACCACCACCACCCAACCACCCACCCACCACCCCACCCGACGATGGCGACGCAGCTGGCTCAGCGAACAGGGCTGGACTGGAGCACACACGCGAAGCGCGTGCGTCGAGCAGGAAAGACCCAAGAGGGGGGACGGGGGACGGGGAGGCTTTCATGGAGCGCTACAGAGCCCCCCCCCCCCCCGCGACAAGAAGGGCGCGGCGAGACTTTGACCGGGCCAGAATACCTGAAGCGTCTTAGTGTCCTCCATCTCGGTCTCGTCCTTGAGCAGCTTCTGGTTCTCGGGCGCCACCTTCAGGATGCCCTCCAGGATTCGCTTCAGCTCCGCCACGGACGTGTTCTCCTTGGCGTCGGTGAAGATGGTGGTCTTCTGGCGCCGGATCATCATGTAAATGTCCATGGCTGGGCTGTTGCGGATAGGGTGCGCGGAGTCAGGCAGGGTCGTGTCATGTCATGTCACTGGGGGTTAACGACGCACTCAGCTGCTGAGGCTATATGGCGTCGCCTGCCTCTCACTCTGGCAGGAGGGGCGGGCACCGCGGGGAATCGAACCCGGTACCTCTGGTTTCCCAGACATGCAATGGCTATCGCAGACGCGTTAATCACTACATTACCGGCACCCCAGGTAGGGTCGTGCTTGATAGCTTCTTTCACGTGGTCAACTGGATTACAAAAGTAGCAAGATACGAGAAGGATCAAAAGTGCCAAAATACAAGAAAAACCTCTACCAGTAACCTGGCGGGTTGTCGGTGATGGTTTCGACGCCAATTTTTCGGACAATATTTGAACTCAATGGCGTGTAGAATGGACGCAAATGCAAATGACTAAAAGCACATACGGATTGCGGTTCTGATGGTGGTAAATTAATCATCCCACTGTGCTGCTGTTTGCAACTGGTGTCCGCATTCGGACGAGTTTCTAATCTCAGTTTGAGTGGGAATAACGCTGGGAATTGAATTCATGACTGACAGAAGAACAAGAGCCTGCGGTCTCATAATGCATTATAGATGACGCACTAGCTGGGGCGCCCAGCGAAGTCCAGATAATGAATTCATTCATGCTAAAGCGGTGCGACCTGCAGTGTTCCATCTGACTCCATATTGCAAATAATCGGACTCCCGCTGTAGGCATTCGTCTTTGTCCTTGCATTTACCGTTGGACATGTTCCAATGACAGCGCCAGCTGATCTGGGTGCGACGCATTTAAGCATGAAATTCGCCGACTACGACCTCTAAACAATGCCACAGTTCCAGCTTTCAACTTCACAGAAGCAAAGGGCAGCGAGTACAATACAAACCGCAGAAGTCACACATCAGTTCAGATCGCTCGGTAGCCGTCAATGCCGCAGAGCAACTCACAACGTCCCACTGCGTCGTTGCTTGCACACGTGACTGGACCAGTGGGCGCCCTGCATGACACATGCCCCAGGTGCTACCCCCCCCCCCCCCCCCCCTCCACTGCAGTCTGCTATCCGGCTTGAGCTCTCACCAGCGAACACCCGGGTGTAGGGAAGTCACGCGCGACGCAAATGCTAGCAAGTGGAAGCTGGCGCCTGGAAATGACTTCCAGCAATGCTATCAACAATTTGTGTTTGTTGTGTTAAAACATGTATGAGTTCTGATGCAAAAATCACCCTTACAGGAGATTCTGATTAAATAGTGTTATCAAACACACATTGATACAGCTTTCCAGACAATTCAATGTTTAAAGGTGTTACTTATGACCATGGGTGACAATGCTTGCTAGAAAATGTTATGTATGTCAATGCATATGATGTACATGTATATGTAATACATCTGTATGTTATGCATGTCAATACCTGCTCGCCAAGATCACTAATACAGCGCCTCTTGGCATATTGAATACTTTCTCATACAAGCTTGCTCCCAAACGACAGGAAATGAAGCTGTTTTACTCACTATGGAAGGCATATTTACACATATTATGATAGCATATTAAATGAAAAATAAGGAAGGACAACTGTGCATAATGAGACTTCCTAGAGAAACCAAGACCAGATGCTGTTTTGCATCCAAAAGTGAAGCATCATTTTCGACCTAACACCACACTGAAGCATAAAATGGCACACAATTGTGTTGCTTGCCTGACATCAAAAGCAAATTGACATGTGACATGGCATGACAAATGAAACTGAAAGCCATTCATCATAAAACAATGCATTGTTAGCAGGAATGGGACACCAGGAAATTGCATGATTCACCAGCCAATAATACTGAAATATCAGCCAATTAGCCTAAAATGCAATGACCTAATGGACATCTAATCAAAGTGTGTGGAAGCTTACCTTTGCATAGCATGAACACAGCAAATGTCAAACTGCACAGACTCCCTACAATGTCAATGACAGATTAAGCAGTCCCATTTCTTAGGCTGGCAAAAGGTTAAATCTCACCATCATTTCAACTCAAGTCAGGGTACTAATAGTGTAATAGTTAACCTGCACAGGTACAAGGTTTGACTACCAACAGTACCCACACTCCCTGCCAGGGTAAGAGGCAAGCAATGCCATGTAGCCTCAGCAACTGAGTTTGTTGTAAATCCCCAATAGCACAGGCACTCAACTTACATCAATCAAAATTGCACTACATCACATGCATAAAGGCATTAATACCAGTATAAATTCCACTGACTGCATCATCCTTGGACACTTGATTTGTATCAGCAATGGGTTATCAGTAATTAGTAATCTTGACCTCACTTGGCATGGTTGCATCTTAATGATCAGCATGCTGTTCACAAAAGGGATGTCTCAAATTTATTTTGGAGGTAAGGTGGCGCAGTCCTACTCTGGATGACCAATGTTGGTGTTAATGTTGGAAAGTGGTACTCCTGCATATATAGTATATTGTTATATGGCTTCATAATTGCAATTTATGGGAAACCAAACATTGCCCACCAACATCAGATCAAAATGTGGTTTCTGTTTGCAGCCAACAGTAACCTGTATTGGGAGCCAAACATCCATTGTAGCCAGCTAACCCTAAAACCCCAATAATCATCATCAGCAACCTATATTTTGACAATCTTGGGATGTTATACGAAACACCAACTGACAGCAAGCAGCAAAACACCAATATACATCAGCACCCATAGCCAACAGGGAAAAACCTGCATCTTGAAAGTCATACCCTTCAGAAATGCAAATGTCATATTTTGTTCCAACTGAAACTTACTTTTCTGATGCTGTAAAATTTGGTGTGCACTTGTTAGCCTTCAAAACCAGATGCTATGACATCACCACCAGTCTCCTCAAACACCAATCTCTGTTGCTAGGGGTGCACATCAAGGATATCACTCAAAGGTTGCATGATACATCTTTAGACAAATCTTGTAACTTTTCTGAAGACATGGTATAACTGCACATTGTGAGCCTGTACAAGCTGTTCCCAACACTGCAACTACACCTTTTATTTCAAGCTTGTTCACAGGAATTACTAAGGATATATCAGCTCTTTATAATTGCCTTACTGCAGTCAGACTTTTCAGAACCATAGTGACTACACATCACCTCTTTTTTGCATCAAAGATTTCATGAACAACTCAGGTGAGGTGGGAAGTGTGAGGATGGTCAGAAGATATGATTTCACATATTTTTTGTTGAAAGAGTAAAAACAGGGAAAATAAGCCAAATCATGAACTTGGCATCTGCCATTCTGGCATAACACCTCATATCTTTTGCCTATTGGTTGCAGAAGTATTACACAAAATGCAGAATCAAATGCGAGTGAAGCAGTCACCATAGCAAAATATAACTATTGTGCATACATGAAAACAGAGATGTAAATTTAATACAAAGAAGAAACACTATGGGACAAAATGAGCTTAACATACAGGAGATACTTATGGCATAAGAAAATGAGGTTAGTATACAACAAAGTGAAATGCATTACATTAGATTACCAGTATTCACTGCATTTCAACCTAATTAAGATGAAAGGCATGCAGTAAGCTACAAGACAACAGACCATAGAAGCCTGTAGTCACACACATAGGGTGCCTAACGCAATTACTGGTCCGCAGGGCAACGCCAAGCATGCAAGAACGCTGAAAGCGCCATAATGACTAGTCATGTTTTTGTGACTGGAGCTGAAATACACTTCCCGCACAAATCGTTACAAATAAACTTACGTTTATTCTAAGTAAACTAAACGAGAATAATTCCCTGAGAAACAACAGTATTAAGTTCCTTTTCTCAGCCGCCCGTCCACCAATCAACCACCAACTTCGAACAACTCATGCCAGTGATGACAATCAAGACGCACGAGTGGATGCAAGGAATGTTGTAAACGAGGCTGAAACAAGAACACCTGCTGAGGTACCACGATAGTGACGTCAATGCGACACTAAAAGTCCAAAACGTTAAAAGCGTCCGTAAAATAGTTTTTGGCCGTCGTGTCTGGTTTTCCTTCAGCTTTTAGGGCAGACCTGTAATATTTTAGAAAAGACAACGAAGCGAACTGTCCCATGTCCAGTCTACAAAAAATACATTCACTGCGTCGGACGCCCGCAAGGCATCGGTGCACTGAGGAGGAACTAAACGGCCAACCAAATGTTTTGAAATGAAGGCGCATGAAAAACCTGGCGCATTGTGATCCATCGACCCGCTTTCAAAATTCTCATCAGCCTATATCCATGCCGTATTTTGACATCTACACTGTGGCTTTAACTTGCATGACTTTGTGGCTGCAAACCGTGAGGCAGAATCCTGTAATTATAGAATATTAGTGACTACTGGCATTCAAGGCCCAGTATAAAAAAGCAATGCGAGCCAGTAACCACACCAATGGCCCGCAAAAAAAAAACAGAAGGAGTTAGATCAAGGTGTGGCTTTTCAAAGGAAACAGTGGGAGCCGGGATCCAGGGGTTTGTTTTGTCGAAAGAACCAGAGAGAACCAAAATCTAGAATCTTGGTTTGCCGAAACATGCAGCAAAAACCAGGATCCATGGTTTTGTTTTGTTTTGTCGAAAGAACCTCTAGGAACCAGGATCCAGTGTCCGTTTTGTCGAAAGAACAAATTAGAACCAAGATCCGGGATCTTGGTTTGTCGAAATGTTCAGCAGAAACCAGGATTCCTGGTTTTATTTTATCAGAAGAACTAGTGGGAGTCAGGATTCAGGGTTCGTTTTGCCAAAGGAGCTGGTTGGAACCAAGAATTAAAGCTGAGAACTAGGCACATTTCTACCCTGAGATCCACGTCATCTTTTGCTGTTGCTAATATCTCTACCTGCAGAGTGCAGAATGACCTCAGTAGCCGACGCGCTCCATAATGATAAGAGTTCCAATCATTTTGATAATAATGATATTTATTATATATATAATCATAATCATAATTATAATAATCTCTACAGTAATACGATTTCTAGCCAGCATAATATTTATGTTTCCAGCTTGTTGTTTTTTGCACCGCTCTCCATTACCGCGTATCAGGCTAACATGTACTGACCTGGTAGTGCGTACGCTCTCCGTAAACGCGCGCCTCAAAGGTCTTCTTTAACCGGTCAAGAACGCTACGTTTCGTGTTGCCGCCATACAATGATCCTAAAACCCCAGGCGCAGGTTGCAGGAGATTAACCACGTTTTTGGCGATATTTTCCCTCCAGCCGACTGACACGTGATTGTTTCGCCTGCCTACGACTTCATCAGAAGCCGGATGTATCGTGTTAAACAAGGATGCACTCCTTAGTTTATGTGTGTGTACCATGTGTGTGTACCATGTGTGTACGCCCCTGCTTTTCAAAGTTGAGAACCTGTTGCATTAGGGCCGGGGCCCACTCGGTGTTCAGGGACTAGGATCTCACGGAAAATACGGAATATTTTAGCATGATTACTTTCCCACGACTGGGGACCAGAGAATGCACCCGCCGTCCTTCGTATTTGTGGTATAAGGTCTGTCTCTTTAGTGGTCATGGTTTTGTGTGCCGAATTATAATGCGGGATCATGGTGTCTATCTGTTTTTAGTACAGTGTGGTGGTATACATGTGTTTGTGTCACTTAAAAGGCATCGAAGAATTAACCGACAAGTTTTGTGTGCTCCGGAGTGAAAAAACTTTGACGTGGTGTTGCGAGAATATTGATTTTCACCAAGAAAACTGACCATAAGCACAGTTTCGAAACGTTGTTTTTTCTTCAATTTAACCATTCTTGGCTTGATGACGTAATTTAGCAAGTATCTCTTCGCATCCTGAGTTATTGTGTTTATTATTGTGTTGATTTTAATTATTGTGTTAAGCAATTATTTTTACGAACTCCCAACCCATTATGCCAAAGCATCACGAGTGCGACCTGCGTGTCTAGGAAACCGGAGGTGTGTGAGTCGATTGCTGGCAATGCCCGCCCTTCCTGCCAAAATGAGGGGCAGGTGGTGCTACACAGCCACAGCAGCTGCATACACCGTTAGCTCCGATGACACACACACACACGTTCCGGTGTGTTAAAAGTCTGTTAGTGTAAGCCTTTGAACTCCAAACATGTAGTGCCTTAAAGTCTAAACTGCGCATCCCTCCCCACCCAGGAGAAAGGAAGTCACTCCTATTGTACGTCTACAATAACAGCTGCCTATTCGCAAACTCGGCCACAAAAAAAACGATGAAAAAATAACATGACGCCACGCTGCCAAATGAACTTTAGATAAGAAAACTTGAGAAGGAAACCTACCTCAAGGCACTGCATGAAGGAGAACTGGTCCTCTCCTCGCATTTCTTCGGTGCCCAAACTCCCAACCAGAATTTTATACTGTTTATATTGGATGAAAATCAGTTACACCAGTCTTCAGGAAGCTGTTTAAAACATTTGTTATGGGGAAAATAAGCTGAAATTAGAGGTGTGGTCTTGCAGCGGCTGGAAACTGATACAGCTCAGCAATTTTACTTTCACCTTATTGACTGAAGTAAAACCAAACTTAAAGTACTGATATTGAGCTTCTGGGTACGAATCTCGGAAAGCGGTTTTCGCAGCGTGATCCAGACACTACCGATCTTTTACATTTTATTTTTACCTTGCAGATGGCAAACTGCCGTTAGAATGTGATTCGGCACGATAGAAATTACGCAGTTTAGGTTGCTGGCTTGGCCCCAACTCAAATGTAGGGCGCACTGATCTGTCTCCATGGATGACACTTTTCGAATTGTGATGTTTATGTTATGCATTGTCCTAAACAGTCAGGAATCCTTCTCCCCCCCCCCAAAAAAAAGCACATCAAACTGAAATCAATGTACGCGTGTTAACGCCGGTCAGCACGGCGGTCTTCTGCGGACTAGATCCCTGACTGCGGGGGAGGCGGGGGGGGGAGGGGGGGGGGGGGCAGGATGGCCGCGAGCTGTCATCTTAAAAACAACTGAGTCTCTAATGACGGTGGATGTATCCGATATCCGGTGTCCGATATCGACTCAGGTCAGTCTGCCACAGAAACACTAAGACGGCGACTGGGACGCTTCCGCCAGCCCTCCCTTCCCCGGCCATACGAGAGGTATCGGAAGAGGGGGAGGGGGGGGGGGGGTATTGGCGCCAAGTCGCCGCCGCCGGCCCCTCCCCGGAGGATAATTACAGGGAGCGGCAACCGCCCCTGGTGGCCGGCACGGGCGTCCCGGCTGGGACGGTGTCGCCCCCGCTACACCCGACGCCGCCAGGGGTGCTTCAGCCACTAACCAGTGTATGCGTGTGGGGAGGCAAGAATCGTTTTTGATATCTTCTGCTAGCTGTAAAGCGTCATAGGCGTAGTCAGCATCACATAAATACGACGCGCGTGCACTGCTGCTTTATAGGACTCCGACCATTCGCAACAGGCACCATCTGCGGACTAATGCTCCGTTTTCCTCGACTGCAGCGGTAATCCCGCCTGTGCGGCGATCTTGGCTCGCCCCTGTTCGCCGCTATCTCCGGCATCACCCGACAGCGTGGGTGGCGCCGGACGGGCGCCTCTGAGGCGGCAGGACTCCCCGGATGGAGGGAGACACGAGGCGTCAGGGCGTCGTGGGAAGCAGTGGGACGGCGCTGTGCAGCATTACCCTCAGCGTGTTTTAAATGTTTAGTTGCTTGAATTCCTTACTCAAGTGACACCACATTGTTGCCGTTGCTAGCGGGGCTTTTTCAATTTGTCGTGCATGAATCACACTGCTTTGGCATCACCTTCCCGCTGTTGCTACCGGACTTTAAATATATTTGTCCGGCCGATCCCCTACTTGCAGGAGGCTAGCATCAGAGCCCCGCTCACAGAAGCTTCCGCGAAGTTGCCGGGGAAGCTTTGCTTCCAGAAACGTAGCCTTTTGCAGTGCACTTAGCAAGTCTTTTAGTGTCGGGACAAACCCCGCCGCTTGAGTGGTCCGCAGCGGGCGAGCG